GGAAGTAACACATGTGGCCAGATAACTTGGCATTTTGCAACAAGAAGGAAGTTGACATATGGGCACTGAAATATAACAACATCTGAATTTAGAAAGACTTCAGAAAGAGAGTTCTTTTGTCACTACCAAAGTAAAAAGGAAAACAACTGAGGGGGATGGGGGAGTAGATACTCCAGGGCATTTCCAAGTTAGCCCCTCCTGAACAGCAGGAATCAGGAAGCACACTGCTGTCTCAGGAGCAGCGTGAGAAGCAAATGCTTCCCACGCCACTGCCCAGGGAGACGACACCTGCCCCCCGCCGCCAGCCCCAGCCTGAGTATGGAAAAGCAAGCCGGTTTCCTTTCCAGGAATCCACTGCTTTGGTATTTTTCCAGACCATTAACAGCAGTCTCCACTCTCTGCTGCCTGCAGAGAGCTGGGTTAGACAGCCGCATGGAGCGAACACCGAAGGTGCTGCAGTGCCGGCAGGAACAGCCCATCCTCCTGCAGAGCAGCCCCAGCTCCGCTCGGCCTCGTGCCACGGCCAGGCCTGGCTCAGCCCGCCTGGCTGGGCTGCCCCGGGCTGGCACCCCGTGCCCCTGCCCAGCGGGGCTCTGCCCCTGGCCTTCCTGCTGGCAACGCTCACCTGTGTGACCAGCAGGTGGAACTTGGACTGGAGCCTCTGCTCACAAATGGTTCCTCTCCAAACTCTCACACCACACTTTGCTCTGACCTTTCACAGAAAGTGTCTTAAAGAGGGCAATAAATATTTAAATATCATAAAAACTATTTCTATATAAATAAATAGTCATTTAAGTCAATATTTACCTCCCTAAGGTAATAAATACTGGTGTGTGATTCCAAAATAAACAAGGCAGACCTGTGGAGAAGCTGGCACCTGTAAGAGCTGCACATGGAAACCTCCTCCTTCATGGCATGCTGGCACACACACTGCAGCCAACACTGCGCTGGCAGCCGGCCGCACTTCCCTTCCCTGACGCTCAGCCCAGCTTCTCACAGAAAAACACTTCACACAAGTAACTCGAGATGTATCAATAAAGTGTTTAAAGACCACAAAACAGTACCTTTAAGGCAGGAAATACATGCAAAGGCATTTCAGCATCAAATGACTGCTGCAAAACCCATGGCTCCTCAGCAAAACAAACAGAAAGTGCTGCAGTCTCGGTCACAGCACGGGCCTGGCTTTATTGGAAGATAAAGTGTGTTGTGTTTTTTGGGATCTGACATCTAAGCTCCAACCAAGAGGACATGCCTTTTCTCCTTTTAAAGGGAATGAAAACCTTCACCTGCAGCTCAGAAAGCTCTTGAACTGAACTGAGAATGCTCCAGGTAATGAGAGATGCTGTGCTTCTGGATCCTGTTTTATTTCTAAGGATTAACATGACTTGAGGATGGATGCCCAGACTTATGGATGACATGTTAGTATGCCCAGCTAACACCATTTCCTAAGGTACTTGCACCAATATCTTGACTGTTTGGGGCTGACAGCTGGCAAGAGTTACTTGAAAATACTACCAACAAACATATATCAAAGTATATTCTGCTTTTGTTCTACTGCTTTCCCAGCACAGTTTCCATATTTAAGTGTTCAAAAGATGAGCCTAGGTCCTACCCAAGGGTAAATGGTTATCCTGTTACCTCCAAATCTCTGCCAGAATAAATATCCTTGGAAAGGTTCATATGACGGAAGCTGGGTTTCTGGCTATACAGCCAGCTGCAGCAGGATTTGGAAGTTTATATGATTGTTTCCTGAAAAAAACTGGTGTACAGAGGCTCTAATTGCTTTATGCAAACATTCTGATGGGGTTGTACAGACTGATAGACTCCATACAACACAATTTCTATCCTGATCTGAGAACAGGCCAAGAGAGGGGGTGAGATTGTTCTGGAGTCAAATTACACAAACTTGTCTGCTGCTGCCCCAGTTTCAGGGGGAAAAAAAAAGACAACCCAATTCAGCAGAATGCACAGATCATTGGCAGCAAGGGCTGGAACCACTGCTTAGTAACTTCAGACTGCTGCTGTGGTGTTAGAGCCTCTCCAATTAAGTGAGGCCTGAAGAATATTTACACTCCTACATCTCTTGGTTCCTGAAAGGGTTAAAGCTTATTATTAGCATATAATTTACAGGTCCCTTCTCCCAGGAAAGAAATAATGCACAGTAAATGCCACATTCGTTTTAATAATACATGTTACAGTCTGTGCCCAACATCTGCACAAAGGTAAAGCAGACAGATTTTTTTGACATGTCCCACTCTGCCATTGAAACACAGGCTTTTTGTTTTGTAAGTGATGGAAGGTTTAATCAAGAAAGCAGGCAATTCATCAATCGAAACAAGGCTGCTCACACTGCCCTGACAGCACACACATGGTTTTATACAGAAGAAACCTGGCCACCTGTCAGCAGCACCTTTTACATCAGGATATACAAATACACTGGGTGATCAATCCTCCAGCTCTTCCCATTCATTTCTTCATTTTCTTATTGTATTTTTCTTTATGCTAGATGTTGCCCTCATTCTCTGCAGGAATAGATGGGAGACAAGGCAGGCTATGGCTGTTTATACACTATCATAAAAATTTATATACCCTTAGAGTGACTTATTTCCCTTCTATTTGAGTACCATTATTATAAATAATTTTTCACTTCATTGAGGAATTTTCCCTGTATGTTATTATCTGTGTCTGCCTGCGAGGGCTGCCTCTTCCTTACTGTGCTTGTGCCTCTGATAAGCCAAAGCAATATGCTGGCAGAAGATGCTCAAGTCTGAAATGAAGGCAGTATGTAGTCACAACAACATCTTAATTAAACTGAAGGCCATGAGGAAAGACTGCGCTGTGAAATACTGAGCCATGTCTGTCAATGGGTCTGTCTGGAGAGAGGCATTCTTCTTCCAGCAGCTGCCTGCCCCAGCATGCACATTAAACCTGTCAGCTCCTCAGCATCCTGCTCCCAGCAGCACCCACAGACATTCTGCACACGGCTTAGAACTAGTTCTGCCTTTTGGTCTGGGTGCCTGGATGGGGTGGGACGAGGGAGGCTGCTGGGCATGGGGATGATGCCAGCAGTGCCAGTGCTGCCGTGGCTCGTGCCAGGCTCTGGGCATTGCTTCCCTACCTGCACCCTGCCAGGGACTCACTCAGTACTATGTGCCAGGAGAAGTCTCCTTAACTTCCTGGTCACCCAGGCTGTCATGGCCAAGACAGGCAATGACTAAAGACTGGTTAAAAATTGTAATTACTGCTTTCAGGACCGTTTTTTCATTGACTCCAGTTCTGTGCAAACAACAACCACATTACACAGCCCTAGGGGTAATGGGCAGTTCTAGTGAGGATACAGTCATTCTGCCAAAATGTATTTGTGATATAAAGTAGGATCAACAGCCAAAATTCATTTTATCCTCCACAAAACATGCTGAACCACAGCTGGAATACATAGAATACTGAGAAAATCTTGCATGTCTATAAAGAGCAAAGAGAGACCACGCTGCAGCTCTTCATCCTACCCCCACTACAGCCCTCCCTTCCCAAGCAGCTCCTCCTGTGCCCAAGGCAGACTGAGGCCATACTGAAATCGGAAGAGACTGCTCATAATGGCTTTTGTTTCCCTCAGCAGCCCCAAGAGCCCCTCTTCTGGCCGGGGAGCCAGGAGAGGGAGCCCACAGGCCTGTCCACAGGCAGAAGGGACCCTGTATGTGCTGGAGGCGCAGCTCCCCCCACCCAGCACATCCCCTGCACATCCTGCATGCACCCGCAGCTCGGCACAGGAGCCCTGGCAGCAGCCCAGGCGTGGCAGCCTGCTCCTAAATCTCCTGTTGCCATGGCACTGCAGCAGCACTGCAGATAGCCCAGACTGGCTGCACACGACACCGAGGGAACAGGAAACTTGGGAATGGCTTCCAGAGCATCTGGGGGCTAATCCACCTCGGCAAGGTTCAAGCACACAAAGAGGACTGTCACGGCACCTCACTGCAGCTGCTGACAAGGCAGCCGTGGGCAGGAGCTGTGCACGAAAATCCTGTCAATGCACAGGATGTGTCTTATGACAAGACCCTTTCTTTGGAAAGAACTCACAGCTGTAATAGCCATTACAACACATGCACAACTCATAACAGTGTTTCTGGAGAATGTGCAATTGGAGGAAAAATAAAGAGTTATATACATGAAAATCTGCTCAAGCAAACATGAAGAACTAATGCCCTGTCCGGCTCTACAAGGCCTTGTTTTGTGCTTTGCCTGTAAGGATCTGGTAAAGTGCTCAGGCTCTTTGTAAAGCAGGCACCTCCCCAGGCTGCACCACGAGCAGAAGCCAGCACATCCTGTAGCAAGGGCAGTCCCACTAACACCCACACAGAGCTGCTGCAGTTGGTGCTTTTGATGCTTCCCCAGGAGAGAAAGCACAGCTTCCCATCCCCATGCAGAACTGTCTCATGCAAACACAGGAATACACCTTCCCTTACATTTCCAAATGTATTAGGGCAGAAGAGTAACAAGAAAAACGAGGACTGACAAGGATTACGTAATTGTTCCATTCCATCTCTTCAGGAACCTGAAGCTGCAGTTTCAGGCAGAGATTACCTTTTAAATAACCCTTTGATTGTGGTACATGAATTAATGCCATGTTCCCATGTTACAAGTGTCACTCACTATTAATAGGGGGAACCTGTAAATGGTACATTTTTGCCATCTTCTCTTCCCTGATTATGCACAAGCAGTATCAACTGCCCAGCCCACTGAACCAACTGCTGAATTTCCAAACTGTCCTAAAATCTCCTTCAGCCAGATGGGACTAGACTTTCATCAGGCTTTGACAGAGTCAGGTTTAAATCCAGTATCTTCTTCCTCTTGCAAAAACAACGTAACAGAGCAAAACTTGTGCTAAGTGTGATTCCACCATGCCTGTGGCAGTATTTGCTCAGTGTAATAGCATCACAAAAACCCCTCCAAGAGCAGTTGTTGGGGCCCAGCAGGAGTGAGTGAGGCGGAGCAGGGCAGCTCACCTGAGATGGCGTACAGGTTGGAGTGCTGGTGCTCCAGGTCCAGGCGGGTGCTGTGGCTCTTCCCCCGGAAGCTGGCTGGCAGAGTCAGCGAGATATGCCTGAGGGAAAGGGAGGAAATGGCAAACGTTACTACAGAGCAGAAGATGCTGCTTCTGTCAGCTCACTCCAGCCCAACGACTCCAGTCAGGTTAAGCAGCAAATATCAATTCTAATATTGCTTCCAAAACTGTCTACCAACCATTCAGCATCAGCCCCCTCCACCCCAAGGAGTGCAAGAGAGGCCATGCAGCCCCAGCAGGGTGTTCAGCCCCAGCCAGGCACAGCAGCTGCAGCCAGTCAGCCCCACGAACAGCCAGCACAGCTCTGCCCCTTAACTCCAATCTGTGTTCTCAATGCAGAGCCGGTGTGACTTCTGAAAAATGTTATCATCGATCCTCTGGACCGCGCTGCCACACGTAAAAAAGATGTTTCCTCTTCACAGAGGGGCTTAGCGCAGCATGAGGCACAGGGAGCAGCTCCTGCCTCACCTGGTGAGAGCTCCTGGATCTGGGCAGACACAGAGCATCGCCCTCCTGCCAGGAGAACCCGGCAGCCTCTGGCTCCTCGTGGGTGCCCCGTGTGTGAGACAGGGCCCTGGGTACTCTCCAGCACTGCATCACACCCATGTCCTCAGCCAGCAGATTTTATCTACCACACCAATCATCTGGAAGTTATCTGCCTTCAAAAACAGGACATGTTTTGGGAAGAACAATGTATTTTTAGCCCTTGATGCAGATGATGGTGAACAGCACAGATAAAATAAGAAAAAGCAAAAAGCTATTTTTAACCAAAAAAAGATGGTGTGAAAATATATTTGAATTTGGCTATCAGTTTGCTGTTTAAAACACAATCCACATGAAAGTCTCTGAAGCAGAGGCATGTTTGTTATGAACACACTTTAAAAAAAGGAGACCATTGTCTGTGGGCATGACACACTTCTCATTTGATTTTTAATAGATGTATTCAAAAATATTTTCCAAGGCACCAAAGGCAGCCAGTGGAGTCCCATGGCTACTCCAGGGAAATGAACCATCCCACAGCTGGCTCAAGGTGGTCACTGCCCGAGTGTCACACTGCAGCCCTCGGCTCCAGCAGGCTCAGCAGCCTTCCAGCACTGCTTCAAGCCATGGGCTTGCAGAAGGCTCTGCAGCACAGCCCCGTGAGCCAGGCAGGCAGCTCAGAGAGAGAGGGCAGCTCAGGGAGGGCAGGCAGCTCACAGAGAGAGGGAAGGCAGCTCACAGAGAGAGAGGGCAGCCCACTGAGAGAGAGGGCCGCTCTCGCTGCCCAGCTCCACGGGGATGCCCTCTGCTCTCCCCTCCACACGGATCGACCCCAAGCCACCACAAGGAGTCCCGCTGTGGCAGGGGATGGCAGAGGTGACATGGAGGTGCCCACCTGAAGACCCAGCTCAGTGGGCAGCACTCCCACCACTGCCCCTGGGGCTGCTGAGGAGCACCAGCCCTGTCCGACACGGGGCTCTTGACGCGGCTGTAACAAGGGTGTGGGGGAATGATGGCCTGCCTGCCTGCTCTCCCTGAGGTAGGAGAGCTGGGCATTCCACTACTCCAGCTGCTACAGACAGCCAGAGGGATGTCTCCAAGAAGAACATTAGCTGCACAAGACAGGGCAGTGACTGCTGGACGGAAATCAGCTCTCCCCTTCCCTCTTTCTTTTTATAAAAGATGACATTGTAGGGAGGAATGGGAAACAAAGCCTAATTTATTTTAAATTAATGTAAACTTTGGCCAGGATCAATATAGCTTATACCTACAAACTTGATTGCATAATGCATTTTCCTTATGTGTTGTGAGAGCCAAATCATTTTGCATTGTAGAAGACAAAAAAAAAAGAGGCTGCCATTGAAAAGCAAGAAAATCCCAATTACGAAGTCCCCAAGTTCCTAAACACATATCGTGAAAATATGTGCAGTTCTGTGGCATATGGCAAATCAATTACTAGTTTAAATTTTAAAACAAAAACATGGTAAATGTGTTGCACAAATAATCAAGAACAACGGTTTGGTTTAGATTACAGCGGCCACTAGAGTTTTGAATACAATTAATCATCATTCCAGGCACCAGGAAGCCATATTGACACTTATTCCTAATTTGAATATTTAATTAGGGTGAAGTTCTTCATCAAATTATCACAGAACTGGGAGGAAAGCCTAAAAGATTTAAACAATTACTACTTTAACCCTTACCCAACTGCTCACCTGTGAGCACAACAATCTCTTTCTGTTCTGCAAAGCTGGAATATGATCAGGCAATGTGACAAGACAGTATGTAAAATGCACTACAAATATCCTGGGAAAGGGGAACAGACACCCAGCACCCCAAAGGGCCTTTCTGGAGAGGCCAGGCTGGCACAGGCTTGTGATTCTGACTGCTTGTGCTCCTTGACCTTTACCAGGGCAAAGCTTTTGGGCTATATCTCTATTTCAGCATCAAGTGTGGCTTCTTCCAGGGCTTTTGGTTTGGGGCTTGTTGTTGGTTTGGTTATTTTTAATTGAAGAGCCTGTCCAAAACATCTACCAGGCCCTTGCTGCCCACAGCTGACCTGGCACAGCCACTTGCTCCTGCCTGGGAGGCTTCCCAGCCCTGCCTCTGCACCAGGAGCTGCTGGGATGGGGCTGGACCCCAGTGCTGCTCCAGACCTGCTGCACCCCCAGCACCCCATGGGCATCCTCACTCTGCACAGCCCTGCCTCAATCGCTCAAACACCCCTTTATGTGCTGTATTAATCCATATAAGAAAATCTCTTTTAATGAGGAGTGATATACTTATGAACTCTCTAGAGTCATAATTAGAGCAAACTAATTGAAGTTGTGTTTTGACACACTTTCCAAATTCACGGGTACTGCATGACATATTCACAGCACTACTGCTGCACACCGTGGTGACAGCAAAATCATTAGGCTAATAACACTTATTTGCATTCTGATCATGCCAGCAGCGGCCGTTAAATGCTGCCTCAACTGGCACTCGTTTACTCAGAAAGTTTCCACTGAAAGATATTAACAGTAATTATTAGTACTTTAGTGACTCTCTGATGTTGAGGAATGGCAACTCACAAAGACTATCCCCATGCCAATTATCTGCCTTTTGAGCTGCCACCAGAAGCAGCTTTCCTCCTCCCCAGAGATAAGCAGTGAGGCAGTTTGGCACAGTGGAAGGACGGACAGTCCTGGCAAGGCCAAGCCCAGGGCTCCAGCCCTTCCCTCCACAGCTGGAGTCAAACCCTGCTGCTCCAGCACTGCTCCAATACCAAACGCTTTTCTCCCCAGCATACAATAGTTTCAAAACAATTTAGAGCAAGTTTAATCACCCTCTTCAGTTGCTCCTTTATTCAGCAAATCCATAGAACAAGTCAGCATGCGATGAGGAGATCCTTCACGTGCAGGCTAAGGGGATTTGAGGTCTGTGCACATTATGGCCACTTTTTGAACATTTTTGGAGAGAAAGTCACATAAAACAGGCCCAGGAATGCCTGACACTTCCAAACGTGTTATTAAGAACTGTTTGCAGGAAGGTGATGAACTGCTTTTGAAGTGAGGGGGCAAGTACTCATAAAACAGAACAGAGGGGAAGTGCCAGATATCAAAGGATGCTTCAAAATTCATATAAAAATATCAACAATGTACAGCAAAAGCCCAATGGTAAGCTGGGCTTTGGACCCCCAGTGACAGACTGGGTGGCACAAGTGTGACACGCAGAGCAGCATCTGAACATCAGGAAGCAAAGCTTGAATTTTTCACAACAACCTGCAGAACAGTGCTGCAAATCTCATGGGAATACCTTTCAAAAAAAAACCACCAAAAAAAACCAACCTTACTTTTCATAAACAATGATCATGCAAACATCATTCCTCATGAAACATTGAGAATGGAACAATTACATTTCAAGCTGTAGAAAGCTGAAAACACGCCTAAAATGAGTTAATATCAGGCTGCAGCTCTCAAGAAATGTAATCCAACATGGAAGCTTTGTTTATGGAGACTGGACAAGGCACATTTCTAAGAAAGAAGCTGCTGGGGTTCTATGAACTGGCACCAGAGGTCTTGGCCACCACCCCCTGTAGCAGGAGGCATCTCCCAGGCAGCAGCTTGCAGCCACTGCCACAGCAGGTATCTGTGGTTCCAGCAGTGGCCAGATCCCAGCTACAGCATTTCCTCACAGCCCTTAACTTTGACTGTGCTGGGGCACTGAGATGCCAGAACACCTACCTCATACTCCAAAGAACTGCAATGAAAACCTAAACTGCGAGGCAAGAATCACCTCGGGTAACGGACTTCATTCCAGACAATCTATTCTAATAGTGTAAACCAAATATTTAAATACTTTTTAAAACCTTCCTGACCCTTTCCCTAAAACAAGCAACATATGGGCTTTGCAAGCATTTCATCTCATTCCAAGCTACTAAAATATCCTGTTTCCTAAGAGTCAATGAGAACTGGGGTGCCAGATTCAGCTTTTATAAAAGCCCAATGGCAAGAAGAATGAAAGCGAGAGTGAGCGATTCTTTCCACATTCAGGTCTCCGCACTTAGCTGTGCCAGCTGCAGGAAGGGAGGAGGGCAGCGCACACACGGGGCCCAGGGGTGCCTCTGGCAGCCGAGGGACACGGTGCCCAGCCCCTCTCTCAGCAGCAGCAGCTCCTGGCTGAACACACAGCCCGGTGATGCTCTCGAGGGCACGTCATCTGCTGCAGACCAGCAACCCAAAATGAAAGGCCTAATGCAGAATGAAGCTCCTGTACCTTCCTCTGCGTGGGGATTAACTCAGATCACAGGACTTGAGTAACTAGGACAGAGCAGCTGCCGAACAATAGAAGAAGCCCCAACAAGTTTAATTTACACCGCTTGGAAGTCTGAGCTGCAGCCCATTAAATCCTTGCAGGCAGAGGCTGCATCAAAGAGCTGAGACCTGGCACTGCAAGCATGAAGTGCTTATGAAGTGGCTGTCTCAGCTGAGCAGCGCCGTGTCTCGGGAGGCTGCGGCGGCAAGCACGCGGCTTCCACATCCTTCACGAGCTGCTCTCCAGAGTCAGGAGTTTTCAGA